GGCCGCACAAAATATGGTAACTAATACGGAAACGTCATTTCGCAATGGGAAAAATGAGTTTTTGGCCAGCGGCAGCGTTCCGTTCCAATCTCGCGCGCTGCACATTTCTCTTTGTCTTGCCGCTCTTTCAAACGTATTGATCCGACCGACTAGCAATACATCGAGCTCAAACAATGTGAAATAATAATAATCGATCGCCACTCACGCCAGCGCTGCATATCGCCCACATTAAGCTTGTATTGTGGTCCGTGCCCTGGCCACTTTGGCACCCCCTCGAGCGCACTTCCGGTTACGTGTCCAGCCCGGTAAGCTGCGAGAATGTGAATTTATTCTTCGGCATTGTAATTGTAGTTACAAACCATTTTAATTTATAAAATACAATTTAAAAGTAAGCAGATCTAAAAAAGTTAATTATATTTGTATGCTTAAATAACAATTAAACCATGATAAATGAAAAGAAAATCAAATCATGAACACAGTTAGGTAATTATATCGGTTTTTTTTTAAATAATGCATTACTGAAACTTGAAATTATAGAACAAAGAATGTGCAACTCTCGAGTTAAAACAGTTTAAAGTCCCATGCACCATGCCTGTCTTCCATTTTTATCGTTTAAAAAAATTAAAACAAAAGTCGATATATGAAATTTGAAATCTTTCTTCATCCTTCTATTATTGCGCCTTTTCTTCTTGCGCATGCCAAGAAATAATGGACAAGCAAATAATAAGTTATGCAACGCGCTTAACATGTGTGCCGAGCAAACAGCATAACCACGCCCTCGCAGGCTTTATCTCCGCTGCTCTCACACAAAGCAATTTATTGAATGCTCATAATATATTCAAAAATTGAAATTCAAGTTCCCCAAATCACGAGATCTCGATCAAAGTTTGCAGAAATTATCCAACCGTGACGCAGGCAGCTTAAACCACAAGACAAACTTTCCGAAGCCTGCAAAAACCAAACAAGAAAGAAGGTTTTCAACGTGGAAAGAGCCCCGGTTTCCTTTCAAAACGCATACTGTTATTTTCCGCGTGAAGAAGCACCGAAATCGAGCCGACCGACCGGAAAAGTGTGCGACCTTGAGTGATGTTTGAATTTTGCCTTGGAGCAAAGTCGGCGTTGAATTATTCAGGCGGCACTGCAATGCTAATTAGCTGCAGGATTGTGAGAGGATGAGGCTCCTTTTCTGCCGCAGGGGTCGATTTAATTTGCAACCCCTCGGTTTCACTGCAAGCAGCACAAACACATTCCGAAACAAAACATAGAGAACAACGGGTTGGTCACTGGTGTGGCTCCGACCGTCTGACGGCGCAACACTGCGGCCGGGCTAAGGTGCGTCTGTGTACTGTGGCCGGGCCGTGCCATTGGCAGAGCCGTTTGATGCGGCCTCGGACCGCTCTCTCTCTCTCTCGGCCGGCAGTTTTTAATTATTTCATAACAAGTGGCTTTGCTTTAAAGGTTTTTCCGCTCTGCTGCTCGTTTTATTAAAATCGCGCCCGGATGAAAACGCAACCGCCATCGGGTTTCTACTCTGAAAGGCTGCAGTATGAGATTTTTAATTGCGTCGGGCCGCTTTAGGAACTATTGATTAGCAGCTTGTTTGCCGTGGAAGAGAGAAAGGGAGAGACAGAAGTGAAATCTGGGTCTAAAAAGGATGTTTAACATGATATGATATCTTATATTCCAGGCTAAAACACGATTAAAAAACAAAAAATGACAAAATTATGGTATAATTATATGTTTTACGTTAGGTTTGAAAAATTTATATTGTATAAGTTTTTTATTTAATTTATATCTAATACATAAATAAACAGCTTGACTTAAAATTCAAGTCTATTGAAAGTATTTGAAAATGAAACTTTGACAATTTTATAAAATTACATAAAATTATTTTGTTAATGAGCTTTATAATTATGGTTAAAAAAATGCAACGCTTAAATTTGTGGCTAAATAGATTATTTCTGTTAGCATTTATTATATGTTAACTTTTTTCAACTGAACGCTACCATAAAAAAATAAGAGATACGACCGAAAAAAGTAAATTCACCCCCTAAGGCCTCGCCCTCCAACTTTCACGCTCTGTCAAGTCGCGCTGCGGCCAAACGTGCGCAAACCGAGTTGGACGGGTGGCGTAATTATTCAATTATCAAAGGCAAAAGTGCCACTTCCAGCAAAGCGGAATAAAAATTAATTGTTCCAAAAGGGAGGAAGCTCGTTCGACGGTGCTGAAAAATTCGCAATTACAGAGCGCCGGCCGGAATCTGTCATCTCGCGGCTTGATTTTACACACGGACGGACACGCGTTTCACTAGACTTTTTTTTAATCCTCCCGCAAAACGCGAAACAAAGAGAGTCCCGTATAATTGAGTAGAAAAAGCGGTGCATTTTAAACCAGCAGCGCGTTTGAAAGGTATAGCGAGCGTGCGACCCTTATGTGCTGGTTTTAAATTATTTGCGTGGTGCGCGCAAAAAGGGTTGGCCTCGTGCGGGCGGGCTGATGAGAATTAAGCCGGTTTGGCAATAAATTTTGCAGCGCGAAATAATGCCTTTCAAATTAGGGTGTGCTCGCGTAGCAAAGGGAAAACCGCGACGGGTGCGATTTCACACGGTTCACCATGGCGTTTGATCGGCTTCGACAAGGGAAATTTGGTTCAAACCAAATTCATTTTATTTCCAAATCATTTAATCTGAACGAAATTGTTCAAAAGTTTAAAGCTGTTTGTACAGTGTAATGGAGCTATTTTATTTTTTAATTTGAACATTTTATTTGAAGAAAATTAATTTATAAAATTTCATTAGTAAATCTTTTCTAAATTCTGTGCAAAACAAAAGTAAAATGTGAAAAATGTATGTGGAGATATGTGTAATGGTAAGAAATCTGCAAAATTAATCAATCGTGCAATTTTGAAGCACTCCTCAGTGCATATTTATGGTGTTGTTATTGTAATTGATATTTATAAAAAAAATCAAAATATTTGTTTGTAGATCTTTAGTATGCACTATGAAATGCTCAAAAAATTTGTACGATCTACTACTTGAGCGCTTTTTAACAATCATTACAAATATCTCCACATATGTTGCATCAAAGTAGTTTAGTGAATTTAGTGAATATTAATCTTAAACTTTTAACGAAATTGTTTTCAAATAAAATTTTCTATACTCAACGATCTAAAATATCTAAATAAATTGAAGTTATTTTTATTTTCTGATATTTTCAATAAATATTTTTATGATTTTTATTTGAATTGTTTTATTTATTTTTCTATATCATGCATTCTGCAATAATGTAAAGTATTAAGAAAAATTCCTACAGGCATTCTCTAAGGTGTTAAATTTGAATATTACAACATATACTTTCTTCTTTCTTGCATGCAAATTTTTCCTTGGTAGTGGTTTTCCCTATGGGCTTTCACGTCGGCTTTCTGGGTGGGCCAGCGTTTTAAATTTCGCTCGCGCGCTGCTCCACTTTCTTGACGTCGACGGAATTATCATTTAAAATTACACGCCGCCTCTGATGGAGAGATGAAATTTTCTGTCGCTCTCAGCGCAGCGGTAGTTTGTAATTAATTTCGCTTAACATGTGATAAGAGGCGTAGCGCCCGCTGAATATTGCACCTCCGCCCGCACGCCTCTCCGCCGCTCGCTTTCTTGCAAATTGGTTTTCCAAAGTTATTCTCCTCCTTTTAAGGAGGCTTCTCGCCCTCGCTGGCAGGAACGTGCGAAACAAAACACTGCCGCCGCACATATACACACACCTCGGATGCTGTGAGAAGCAATATCAGTGTTGCAGGCGTGAAATGCGATTTTGATGAAAAAAGAAAAGGAAGAGAAAAGAAGGCAAGGTGGCTGTTGGTGTGTCTCCTCAGGAAAGGAGGAATACGTAATGTGCGTTTGGTAAAGTTGAAACGCTGTGTGTCAACAAACATCATGTGTACATACCAGCCGGCGGTCAGGAAAAAATGTTCTTGATATCTTGGGTTTAACTGAATATTAAATCTTTTTCTGCGATGGAAATATAATATGTGTATTCCCAAATATTTATAAAAAAAAAAATTGAGAAAAAACTATTTAAAGACACTTTTTGTGCAGCTCATTTTTTTTTTTTTTTTTTTGCTAATTCATTGATGGAGATATTTATGAAATTCAAAATTATATTTCAGAAGCAAAGAATTGCAACTCGTCAAATTCGGTCATAAATTACCTTCCTGGATCCTGGAAATTTAGAAACTAGTCCAATATCCTAAAAAAATAATGGATGCTTCAAATCACTTTTAACCAGCTCCGTTTTTTCTCATCTTGGCCTGAAGTGTCTGAAACCTCATAAACGTAATGATTTGCCAGAAATTTTGCTTATTTTCTTTTCCAAAAATTTACCGAAATTGCTGCAGGCTCGCAGAGGTTTACGGTTCACGTGCTCAACTGTTGGAAAACGTGGAAAACGTAATTCATCCTAGAGCAAATCGGTCGGAAAATTGGCCGGCAGCGCGTTTCTGGCCGCAAATGCGTATTCCGCACGCACCCCAAGCCACTCCGGGCTCTTTTCCTTTTCTTGGTTCCGCAAGCACGGCTGCGTACACAAGGACGAAATGTGTCGAAACACACGAGTACACGGCCGGGTCAAAAGGAAACTCGTGTCGGCCGGACAGGCCGGTCATCGGGCGCTGAAGTATTCATGAGAAGTGAGAAAAATTTAATTGGATCAACGCGCTGGGCGTCGGTGGTGGGAATTTGATTAGGGTTGGGGCGCGTGTCGGGGACGGAATATCATCCGGTGGATTTATGGTTTCTTGGGAGTCGCAATAAGTGACTAATGTGCGAGACGGGGAGTCGGCTTTGCGTGTAATGAGAGGGAAAGAAAGTCTTGTGCATAGGAGCAAAGTTTTGCCGTTAAATTAGAGAGACGAGAAGAGGGCAGACGCTTCTCAGAAAAGCTTGTGTTTTTAGGGGGTTTGTTTGTTGCGCTCAATTGTCTAAGCGTAAATTACCTTTCCTGTTCGCAGATTCCGGCGGGAGCCAGGATTATCCCCTAGGCGTCTCTTCACCACAAGAAAAGGTAGGAAGTAATCTAGATTTATTAATATTAAATATGAATTTCACGCAAGATGGTCTTTTAAGAAGTTGATTTTAAGAGGCTCTCCGGAAATAGAATGACTAAATACAAATGAAAGTGAACAAGTCGGCGTACAAATGATTGAATGAAAACACGTTGATTATTATTATTATAATTTTTTTTATTATTATTAAAAAAGCGGCTCTACCAATTTCGGTCACGGTGAGCTATGTTGCAGATTTGCAGAAACTACGGTTTATTTATTATTTATAGAGCCGTCTTATTTTAAATTTTAAAAATCTCAACGAGTCTGTAGCAACTTCTAATCAAAAATAATTAAATATTTAATTTATTTTCATCCTTACTGCTAATTTAAATCAATTTAATATTCCACTTTCAATGATCATTCTAGGTTTTTGTCTTCAATTTAAAAAGAACTCCATTTTTTCTTCAAATCAGAGTGCAATAAAATACAATTATTGAAGGCGGAAATGTCCTCAAAATAGAGCAGCGTGTAGCGTAATCACATTATTAGGGCGCTCGGAGCCAAGTGCAGTGCTCTCCGATTGTGAGCAGCCAGCGTCAGGAGCGGCGATGTCAAATTTCATCACCGGCTCCAATATTAAAAGGACAAGTCGCCAGGGGCACTGCTGCATCAGCTCTCTGGGACATTAGCAGCGGCGGCGCGTAGTTTTCTTTCGCCTGACCGACCGACAGATACACACACGTATATTTACACTACTTTCTCTCCAACGCCGGCAGTGTCTGTCTATCTTATTTTTTCTGGCTGCACATGTATTACTTTTTATTTATATATATCTGTATTTTCCGTCAGAAACACCAGAGGGAAATCACACAGAGCAAACAGCCGGGGTCTTTAGCACACACACGTGCGCCCGCCGTCCCCCAGCGGCCGGGGCTGGCTTCGTGTGTGTTCTTTGATGTTTACCTTTTGCCCTTAAACCTCTCCAGCATCGCGCCCTCAGATAAACCAACCTGCAAACAACAAGGGGCGAGTGAAAGAGACGTAGGTGTTCGGCCTATATCGGCCGCCGTCTCTGGTTCTAGTGATGAGAACGCAAGAGGCGGTAGGATTTTATGCAGATTTGGGTCGGGGGCGCAAAGCCTCTTTTGTCGATGGAGCGAAAAGAAAAAAGGGAGAAGGCTCTGGGGTTGCGCAAATCGAATTCGGTATCGGAAGAACGACTTCCAGGATCAATTTTAGACAAATTGAATATATTTTTGGCCCCATATTTCTTGGCAAGTAAAATTCTAGCAGAAATAACTTTATCAGACAAGTAAATCTCAACAAAAAATTTATCAATTGATTGAATAAGCAGTTTTGAGGAATCTTTTTTATAAAAATATTTCACCTTCAACCTTCAGTGTAATTTAGGCTCGGATATTTGCAAATCCCCTTAACATAAAATATATATAAAAAAAGACTCAATCCTCTAATAAAAACTTCCATTCTGCCCTCCTTTTTCGTCCGTGCTGTCGTCATCGCCCTGAGGCAGTTTTCCTCCACTCCATTTTCCTTGTCTCTCTCTTTTTTCGCCTTTATGCATCTCGTCGCTTTTTTACACACACGCGCTCCCTTCCGTCAGAACAAGGGGGATGAAAAAGATGCGGCGCATTTGCGGCGAAATACAAGTCGTGTCCGTGAAATATGGGGAAATTGAAGCAAAACACGGCCAAATCAAAACAAACGAATTGGATTGGAGGCTTTGTTTGAACTCGTCTGCCCTGCGGCACGGCTCGGCTCCAGCCAAGGATATAGTATTGGTGGAAATCATGGCGAACAGAAGTGGGTGGTGGACGCGACAGCAAAATTACCACCACTACTTGCACCTCCGAAATGGAATAATGATTAATCCTGCACCCATTATCGTCGGCGTCATTACCAGGCATGTGTGTTGCTACCAAAGAGAGGGCGAGAGGCTAATACCGAGCTGGACAGTTATTAGCTATTAAACCGGCTTGTACCACTGGCATATATCAAAGTGCCCTCAAATTTTATTACCTCATGGGTCGTCATTTCAAAATGGAGAAAAAAAAATATGTTCACTGTCAAAGGATAATTTTGACAGAGGGAAAAATGTAATATTGCAAAAAGTCTCACCCAATTTCCAATTTTTTTGTGATTCGGATTTGTGGGTGTTTATCTAAAAGGTCAAATTTTTTCAAAATATTTTAGAAGGGCTTTTGGTATTTACCTTACGTTGAAAGTAAATTAAATAAAAAACAATTTAAAATATTTTCAAAGTAACGAAAATATCTAATTATCAATCAAATTAATTGACAATGGAGATCTTGAGACGCCGCCCAAGAGCCACTCCATCACGCAAGTAGTGTGGAACAAAAACATTCCGTGCGTAAACAGAGCCAAGGCCCTCTCTTCCTTGGTGCTCAATTACAGCCACGATTTGGCCAAACAATCGCTTCAATCAGCCGGCTCTCTAGGAATTTGCTTGATCGGCGGCAAACGCGACGAGGAGCCGCCCGCCACTTTTTATTGTTATTGGCCCCGCCGATAGTAAATGTTGCCTTTATTACACTGCATATATGTATGTGTGTACAGGAACTCTCACTCGAGGCATAAAAGTATAGTGATTGGAAGCTGCGTGGCCATAAAAAATTGTTTTGACGTTGCTGCAACGAAGCTCCGACGTCAGCATAATTGATTGCCCTACTCGCTGGCTTGAGCGATTTCAATTAACCTCGAAGCATCGAACGCAAAGTTTGCGCCGGCCAAGGCAAATTCCCGCCGCTTCACTAACTTGGCTCGCGTTCGTTGTGAAATATATGGCCTGTCGAATTCTATTTTTATCTATAATAGGGCTGCCTTGGGATGAACCTTCCTCTTTTTTCAAGAATAGTTAGAATTTTTTTATATAGTCTTTATTTGGCGCAGCAGATGAGATAAATAATTAAATATCTTAATTAGAATAAGAATTTACAAAATTTATTTGTCTTTCGTTCATTTTTAGTTGTGTTTTCTCGGTTAACTACAATTTGATAATTCTCTTTCCATGTTTTATATAGACTATAACAAATTTAATTTTTCGTTTTTTTTTACATAATTATATCGGTGTTCTTATTTTTCCGTTTTTATCTCTTCATCCACTGAAAAGGTTCGGAATATGATCAAAGATGCATCACTTCAAAGAAGTCTTTGATTATAGCCGATATCTTGCCAGCATACTTTGGAAAGATGATCTTAAAAGAAATTCATAATAGGAGGGATTTTCTAAACGATCTAATTAATCAATTTGTAAGTAGCAATCTGCGCTCATTACAATAAATTTAAGCTCCTTTCAAACAAAATTCGCAGAAAAGCTTTTATTCAGAACGCGGAAATACGTCTTCAAAAGCCCCCGCCATACGCATCCAAACAACGCCGGAAATAAATTACCTTTTTCTCTCTTGCCTTAATGCATTTCCCCACACTGATTAAGCAAAGTGTTTTCCGGCCCTCCCGCGTTTTATATACGGCATTTGTTGCATTTTATAGCGTCTTATATACTCCATTAAGCATCCCTGCAGGGTGCACATTCATCGGGAATATAAAGAATAATGGGCGTGTGTTAGTCCCTCTCGCACTCGGAGTGTAGTTTAGTATTACACGTTACATACGCACGCGGACAACAAGCACAGCCTAGCTTAAACTACTCCCCAGATTATCGATCTAGAAGGGCCTTTTGCTCATGGTGCTGTCGGTCGCGTCAGCCTCACTCTCTCTTCCCTTTCATCATCATCGTCTAGCCATGGACGTCCCCGAAAGTGAGAGAAATTCCCGGCCGTGCTAATGCCCCCTCGCAGCCGAAATTGCGGCGAAGATCGTTCAATATAAGGAGGCGCAGTGCAAATTGAAAATAATCCTAGGACCTATACGTAAAATAAAATTTTATGGTAGTATTTTGCCTCATCTGCAGAAAATAAAATAGGAAATTGGATCTTGTTTGTACTGAAAATGAGACCTGTTTTGAGTTTTAAATTAAAATACATACTTAAGATAAGAATCCAGTTTTTCAGCTTCAAATCCATCGCTTTGATTACAGGAGACTTTCAAAATCTCATTTTTTTTTTAAATAAGTGAGATTTTTAATAATATATAGAATTCAATATTTTCAATGCAATGGATAAAATAAATATTCACAAAAATATTAAACATCAATATTATTTTTTTTTTAATTATTTTAAATTGAGAGGAAAGAGGAGAATTAATCTTAAGTTTAACTTAATATTTTTAAATTAGTATAACAAGAAACCAATTGATGACTCATTTTCAAAAATATTTTTTCCTTCCAGCAAAACAAATTGACAAAATCATTTCCTGCTCTTGTTATATGTAGCTCATGGCAGACCAGTGGCCTAGTTTCTAAATTACGCACGCTGTGCAATGATAACGGTGGCCACTTATTCGACTCCCCCATATTTGTACAGTGAGAAAGGGTTAGTCGGTTCGTTGGTTGGTTGGCTGGCTGATGACGATGATGGTCTCGTGAGTTGCTGTCTCTTTTTTGCGTACATTAGACGCCGGCACAGCCACTTGTTGAATTTGGAGCGCCAGCTGGTTATGCTGCACCGCGTGCGCACGTTCGCAATACTCGCGGCAGGCATAAACTTGCACGCATCTCGTGAAAAATTCAGAGGCGGTTGAATCGGGTAAAAGGATGGGAAACGGAAAACGTAAAACGCGTTAAAGGTGAGCAATAAGTTATTCGTCACCTTTCAACATGTACAGAATCAATAGATTAAATGAAATCGATTATGAAATGCATGATTTGAAAGTGAATGCAAATAGATATTTTAATTGTATAATTTTTTTCATGTTACTGATATTCACTTCAAATTTATTTTTGAAATATGTTACTAATGTTGTAAAATTTACAATAATTGAACAAAATTTATATTTTAGCATTTCAATTTGTCTTCAAATACATGCAGCATCCACTGCACAATATTTATGCCTTTTTCCGAGGGCCAGAAAGTCTAAAGGG